TCACATGCAGGCAAACAAGATAATTCCAAAGGTGAAATTTTTGGGGTTTTTTTACAGTCAGCAAAACAGACAGAAACTAATTGAATAGAGGCTGCAGTTTGCCCCAACAATGTAAACCAAATGTTGGCATGACAACCAACAACTATTTTACTGTCCATGATAGTTTGCTGCGCCCAACTTTCATTGAGTGGAACCAGGTTTCAATTAGCTCCCATTTACTTTGTAGCACCTGATGCAGCTGAGCTCTGTCATTCACAAGGAGAATTTTCTCCTTCCTAAAAACAGCAAAATACCATGGATGCAGGGAATCTGAAATAAAAGCAGAAAATGCTGCAGAAACTCAGCAGGTCTGGCAGCATCTGTGGAGACAGAAGCACAGTTAATGTTTTGATTCTCATACGTCTCTTCTTGAAAGTAAGCTCATATTGGACTTGAAACATTAACTCTGTTCCCCTCTCCACAGATGTTGCCAGACATATTGAGGTTTTCCATCATTTTCTGTTTTTATTCGTGCTCCCCACTGCCCATATCCTCCTACTCAGAAGACTGCTCACGTTCCCCCAGTTCCCCGGCAACCAGCACAACATCCCATTGTCTGCTCCAATTGTACAGAGCTCTGTCCTGAATATACTGGAGACTCCAACTCAAGACTGGTCCAAGCAGTTGAATAGCATTTTCAGCAGCCCTATTGTCTGCTCCCCCACCATCCCGGTTGAAGGGTGGCATTGTATTTGTACCCCACATCAGGCAGGGATTGGTGAAACGTTTCATGAGCAATGTGGGTATCCCTCGCTCCCCCGACCATAACCAGCCTTGCAAGGCATCTGGACCCTCAATCACTACAGGTACACAAGTGTGCTCCAGCAAGTAGGAATCATCGCAGCTGCCAGGGTAGTGAGCAGACACTCCATGAAGTAGAAATAGTGATCACGACTGCCTGTACATTAATCATACGCAAACCCTTCTGTTTATGAATGTTTCGGTATTGAGATATGGCCGTCTTGGCGTAAATTGTGCAAGTAATGGCACCCTGCACGTGGGGAAAGACAGCTGTATTCCCCAAATCCTATTGCCTGGGCTGTAGCATTTACTGCATCAAGAGGAAATGAATTGAACCAGAATGATCGTGCAGATGGCATCGTTCATTGTCCTGATGCATTGTGGGTATATGACAGATGGACCCCACACAGGTTACCCTTCACTCCCTGGAAGGAGCCAGTTGTATTGACGTTCAACATAATTGTCACCTTCACAATCACTGAGGGGGGATGGCCTCCCACTCTAGCACTCAGTATAGTTCCATCACAATGCCCTGAGATGTACAAAGCCTATATCTACACTGCTCCTTGCTCATTCCCAGGAAAGAGAGTCAGGGGCTAAAACATCTGGTCCTCCTGGGCACCTGGCACATCCTGAGGGGTCTCTGACTATGACCTCGGTCTAAACTGAGTGCTCCTCCACCCAGCATACCTTCTGATGCTGTTCTGTATACTCCCATCATAACTTTAGAATCTCCCCATCACTGTTCTTGAACCCACCTCAACAGCTGCCTCTGTTTCCCCTCCCCTAGCCTTGACTGCTCTTTGACAATGAGTTTTATCTGCTCCCTCTGCCCCTGGAGCCAGCCCTTGCATCCTCCACAAGACTATTCATCCTAGAACTTTGGCTGGCTTTGCTGAACAAGATATGACTGACCAGACCACTGACTGTTACATTTTCAGCTCCCCAACTGATGCGATGCCGTTCCCCTGACCGCTTGTGACACTCTATAGGACTGACCGTGACCCGCTTCCTGCACTGAAGTCAGACATGTTCTCTGACCCTGATCAGCCCAAACAGATGCCTCGATGTGGATAAGCCCCTGGACTGTATGAAGACTGCTGACCAACAGGGCCCCTGCCCGCCGGAGTGGACAATGGACTACTCCTCACCTACTCTCCTTTGGCTGAATGTATGTGCAGTGTATTTGTTGTACAGTCAGCTAGCATATGCGAAAAGTGTGAGCTTGACGTCTCAGTGTGGTGTACAGCAAGATATCATCCTCCCACTACCCAACCACCAGGCAGATCCCACATGGCAAGCAGTCTGCTCGAATGTCTGCCCAATACAGCATATCAATGTGGTAGATGCAATGAGTCACTCCCAATGTCGAGACAGGCATCGGTGGGATTCTCACGTCGTTCTGCCATTGTTCATGTCATTAAGATTCAGTCGTTAGTGTTTATTATTGATTATGTTATTTAAAACACTAATAATGTTTAAGGTTTTGGCAAAGATCTGTAGCTTGGGTTGTGGGTGAGGTTGTTGACTTGCTCGCCGAGCTGGCTTGTTCTCGTTCAGACGTTTCGTCACCATGCTAGGTGACATCATCAGTGGAGCCTCTGATGGAGCGATGTTATTCTACTCCGCTGGGATTTATAATGTCTGGTCTGTTATGGTGAGTAGTGTCATTTCCGGTTTTGTTCTGTATGGGACGCACGGGAATTCCTAAAGGCATGGTTCTCCACCCATAGTGCAATCAACAAACATATAGAATTGGGGCCTATATACAAACCCATACAGAACAAAACCAGAAGTGACACTACTCACCACAACGGACCAGACAGTAAAAATTCCAAGGGGAGTAGAATAACATCGCTTCATCGGAGGCTCCATTGATGATGTCACCTAGCATGGTGGCGAAACGTCTGAACAAGAACAAGCCAGCTCGGCGAGCAAGTCAACAACCTCACACTAATAATAGGAGATAACAAGGTGTACAGCTGGATGAACACAGCAGGCCAAGCAGCATCAGAGGAGCAGGAAGGCTGATATTTCGGGCCTAGACCCTTCTTCACACGAATAATGTTTTATGAAGTGTGCACAATTGTGTAAAATGTTAATACTGTTGTGTTTAATAGGACACTTTATGTCAAAAATATTTCAAGTATGACTTAATATAATCTTGTAATACTTATTGTTTCCATGTTGCTTGCATGTATGTTTAATTATTGGCAATTTAGAAGAAAATTTGCCCTAATATAGCAGCATTTTTAATGGAGTAGTGAAAATGAATTCACTTCCAAAGTCCATTAGAAATGATCTCTCTCCTTCTGTAAAAGTAGTAAATCTGTAGCAGTAGAATGCAAGTTAATCATGAGTATTCTTATCCTAAATACAATGCTGAGTGGTACAAAGTGAAATACCAAAAATGGAAAAACAACTGAAAAGTAAAAGCAGTTGGATATTGCTGCCAGAATTTTAATCTTCTGCTGTAGATAGATGAGTAAAAATTCCAAAACAAATTTAGTTCAGTGTTTAGCAAAAAATACTAAAATATAAAAGACATACTTTCAATTAACTGGAATTTGCATCTACAATAATTCCATGTAGCTTTTCCCTATATTACTTGAAAAATCACCAAAATTTAATTGCAGCAGACTGTGGTCTGTCATGGTCATAAAATCAGAATGATTATGGTACAGGAGGCCATTCTGTAAGAGTACTCTCTGTAAGAGTAACTCAAACAGTGCCATTTTCCCATTCTTTTCTGAAAGCCTCTTTCACCAGAAGTTCGGAATATAGTTTTCCTTGACAAGTAAGAAGCAAATTATTAATTTAGCATCTGTGCCATGTCCTTTGACTCCATATGTAAATCCCCTTTTTGATCACATTCCTCCCCTTACTCACCTTTTATTAACTTGCCGATGGAAGACATTATTCCTGTTATGTTAACTGCCTGTCGCCTCTCTCTTTATATCTCTCATTTCTTTTATCACTTCCCTTCTAACTTATGACATTTGTCATGTGCATCTTTCTTTTCTTGCTTCATCTTTCCGTCTCTTATCTTTCAAGGCTCTGGCTTTCGGCGCTCTTCTTCTACCACCCGCACCCAAGCGAACCATCTCCTCATTAAAAGAAGCCCATTGTTCAATTGCAGTTTGCCTGTCAATATTTGACTCTACTTTAAGTTGAACAGATCTGTTCACACTTTACTGAAATTGCTCTTGCCCTACTTAAGTATTTTTACTCCAGTTGGCTTCTTATCTTTTTCCATGACAAACTTAAACCTTATGAAATTAATGATTACTGTTCGCTAAAAGACAACTTCATCCACCTAAACCACTCGTTCCTCAGAAACAGATCCAGCAATGCCTGCCTCCTCATTGGGCTGAAAACTTACCAATCAAGAACTGCTGAACTCCCTTTAGAAACTCTTTACCATTTATATTGTTGCTTTCCTAGTCTATATTTGGATAATTAAAGCGCCCATTTAACAGTACAATGCTGTCGTTGCAAAGCTTTAATTTCCCTGAAAATTTGCTCCTCTATATCATTTACATTTGCTGGTGCCAACAGAATACACCCAGAAGAATAACTATTTGTCAATTATTTCCGAACTCTCATCGAATGCAGTGAGTCCTTGATCCATCCAGAATATCTTTCTCTCTCCAGCACTGTGATATTCTCCTTATTCCACACTGTCACTTTTCCTTCATTCGCCTTCTTTCCTCAATGCAATCTAACCTGTTATCAGTCCTATCCTTCCTTTTTGGGCGACATCTCAGTTATCATCACAATATCATACTTCCATGCTGCTATATGCACTTTCAAGTCATCAAACTGTGTTTCTTTGAGTCTGCTTATGTCCCAAAAGAAAAGCAAAGAAATTAAAAACTGACAAAGGAAAAATAGTAGATTGTTATGTCATTTCCACTCGTGATACCAAATAACAAGATGTTTCAAAGTAGGAGCACCCAGAGTTGGTGTCATTAATAAACTTATGCAAGGATGACAATTCTATAAAATATTTATATATTTGATATGCAGACTCGAACTGTTTATTTAAACTTTCAGTAAATCAAAAGTAAAATCATCTTAATTAATTTCTTTCATTTTCAATTGTGACCGTCTGCACTATAGAAGATACCTTTCACTGAACTGACCATGCCCAGTCATTTATTTTCTTAAGCATAGATTCTGTGCCTAACCATTCAAAAGCCACAACGCCCTGAACTTACCTATCATAGTCACCATTGCAGAGGGCTCGCACTGGAATACAGAACTGCAGCCACACAGGATTCAAGGTATTTTTCACCACTTCTGTTTTATGGCAAATTGTGAAGCTAAAAATAGGAACAAATAGATTGTGAAAACAAATACGTTATTTAGAGTATTAAAGCACAGTAAGAATAATTATGAAAATTTTCTATGGATTGTTCTGCAAGGTGACAAAATTTTTATAATCATTTTCTTATTTGCGTTAAAGAAGCAAGAAAGCATTGTGACATATTTTAGAAAGAACAAAATATTTTCCTAGTTTATGAGATCTACTTCAAAGACGTATTTTTATTCTGATGAAAGATTAGGTCTCAGTTTGCATTGACATTGTGACAGAGCTACATATAATTAGTTTGGCTATCAGTTTATCCTAAATCAATACTGTAGATCTCCATAAGACAAAGCTTTGAAATGCCCAAGCTTCTGATTTGGCAACAGCTGAAGTCAAAAGCATTTGTCTCTGGACCTTATTATATATTTGACAGATATGAACTTACTTTAAGCTTGAACAGCTTGGAGAGAGAATGGTGGTGGAAATCAATGATGACTAATTAGTTTCTTTAAATTGAACAGTTTAAAGAAGTACTTTTGACAGAATAAGCTTAAGCTTTGTTGCTCCTCTACTTTGGAAAAAAAATGTTCAAAATAAAATTTTATATCAAAACTTGTAGTTAATAGCTTAATGAATAATATTTTTTGTTTATTAATTGAGTCTCTGACTTTTTAAGCCAGTATTCAGTTATTCTAAAAGTCTGCAGCCTCAGACTTCAGAGGCACTGTAAAGTTTCCTTCAGCGCAGCACGGAGGGACACTGCATTTTCAACTTCCCAATTATTTAAAAGTAAGAGACTCTCTAGGCCGGTTTGTATGGTTCAACTGGGCATTTAAAAACACAGCACTGATCAAAAAGAAAAATAGTTCTTCCTGGGTTACAACCAATACTCTAAGTCAAGATCAGTTTTTAACTTAAAGGAAGATGGGCAATGGTGTATGCATGATATTGTTGTACATTTCAGGATTGACAGCTTTGTTACTTCCATACTGCAACTTCAAGAAATCAATATTTTCTGAACTTAATCTGGTAGTTTTCCAAAGGTGATCTATTTTAATACTAATGTACCAATAGCAGTATATAACAGATGGATTATCTCACATTAACAGTTATGATCTTGAACGCATTATCTGAAAGGAGGGAAGCAGATTCACTGGTGAAGCTGGAAAGGGAATTGAGAAAGAAGTATTTTCATAGCTATGAGGAAAGTGCAGGCGAATGGAACTAATAGCTCTTTTATTGACAGAGTGATTCTAGCAAAATGTCTTCCAAAAATAAAGTTCAGAGAAAATCCACATATAAAATTATTTATCTATAATGGTATCAAAATAAACGCACCAATGTCACACTCTTACATCTGAGCTACATACAGTTCTAAAGGAACTACAAGTATTTGAATGGGAAATGTCTATGTCATGTACTCCTATTGAAGATTTCCTATTATGGTCTACAGACTGCGACGACGATGTGACTTCAAAGAAGTTATTTTGTCCTGTTTTGTTTTTAAGAGAGGTTGTAAGGCAGAGGTATGAGCTGGCGAGTTAACACCACTTGAGTAAACAGCTTGGTAGGTCTTGGGTTGTTTTTTAAACAGCCTGAATGTATATGGCCAGCTCTCACAGATCAGGATTTCTGGGTTTTTAGGTTTAGGTTTAAGCAGAAGCTCCTGGGGTCTCAATAGAGTTGGAAGCTTCAGTGAATGGCTCCTGGCTGCTACTCTCTCTGAATTTTCTCTTGATGTTTCTTTCTTCCTGGATTGGAGAACTGCATGTGAGAATCTGTGTCTGAATTTTACTTTTTGCCAAGTCGGGTGTTTATGGGATGTTACTATATTGGAACAGTTAATTAGTAATTGTAACTGTATTTATCATTCTGTTAAGTTTTCCATTAGAGTTAAGTTTTTCTAAATTTCTCTTTCTTCAATTGTATTTTAACTACGGTGTTTAAATAATTTATGTCTTGCTTAATGTTGAGTAGTTTGACTAGTCGCACTGCATCTGGAAGAGGCACTTTTCATTTGCCTCAAAAATAAAAAAAAATTTTGGGTCTAGGCTACCTTCTTAAACTATTTTGAGGGGCTCTGATCTTGTCCGTAACAAGACTAAATGTCAATTCTAACCTCTTGGATCAAACACCAATGGTAATTTTGGTGGATGTTGTCTTATGTTGTAGATTTTTGCAGAGCAAATTGTTTACATTCATGGACTCACTGCCAAATCATTGTTTCAAATATCACAGAGAAACAAAACAGAAGAAAGCATGCAGGAGAACAGGAAACAGTTCTGTTGTCAGAAGTGATGTCAGCTGAGGTGGTCTGCCTGCTATTTCAGTTTGGCAGGAAAGATCCCATGGCATAATTTGAAGTGGAGCAGGCGAGTCTGCTCAGTAATCTGGGCTGCAATTGACCTTCAACTAGCATTTCGTAAAGCAGACTTCCTGATGATATACCTCATTGAAGTTTGTGGAACCTCATTGTGCACAAATTGTCTGGCACGTTTCTCTACATTATCACAACAGTTATATATCGTTCACAGGTAGACATCTGAGAAAAACCTCAAGTTATGAAAGGTGCAAATACTCTATTTATTTCTTTATATATTGGCACCAAAGACATTGAATTCAACTCACCTACAGTTAGAAAAAAAAAGTAACTGCAAGTTAAAGAATTCAATACCATTTACCAAGTAATTGCTGTCTTAATACAATGCAGCTCACATTCAAAAGCCGAAACCTATATTCAAGATGGATGAGGAAACTGATCGAGTACAACTTAAATCAGCAGAAAGAATTGGGCTAAGAAATTAAATTCTTTTCCCCCTGTTCTCAATAATGTCAGTTTTCTGGTTCCCCTTGGATCTTTCCATGTTCTATTTCTAGATTTTTCCCCAGTGGCTGAAATAAGTGAAATTACTGGTTGGTAATGGAAGCTTCCTTTTAAAAATTTGTTCATGGAATGTGGGCATAGCTGCTGGGCCAGCATTTATTGCCCATCGCTAACTGCCCCTTGAACTGAGTGGCAGACAGGCAGTTAAGAGTTAACTACATAGCTGTGGGTCTAGAGTCACACATTGGTCAGACCAGTTAAGGATGACAAATTTCCTTCTCTAAAGAACGTTAGTGAACCGGATGGTTTTTTTTTTAACAACAATTCACAATAATAATTGATATTAGGTTAGCTTTTAATTCTAGTTTTTACTTAAAAGAAAAATATTGAGATCAAATTCCACCATCTAACATGGCAGGATTCAAACCTATATCCCCAGTGTGTTAGCTGGAGTCTCTGGAGTGTTAGTCGAATAATGTTATCACTACACCACCTTCTCCCCTATGGAAATGGCTTTCTGTCTGCTTGTGCTTATCCAACTGTGTTACAATTGAATTCATCATATGCACTGCTCTGGTGCATGCGCGGTCTTGCTTGTTTCCTGCCCATCTGCTACTTAATCTAGTGGAGTGCTGGAGGGCCCACATGTGTAATCATAGAGAGGCAGCAATCCTCATCTGTATCTACTCCAGACGTGCCCATGATGCTTGTACTCATTTAGCATGTTACTACTGTAAGTGGGAACAGATTGTTGACAACAATTAAACCAGAAAGGTCACACTTAATGATTCTAACCAATCACACAGCATGTTGTAACTAGAAAAGAAAAACTGCTAAAGATTGCAACATGAAATCTCTAGAGCAACACACTGGTCTTTCAAAACTATTCCAACTGGGTCTGTTATTAATACTACTGTAGAATGGCACGTTGGTATCATTCATTTCTCAAAGAGAAATCTTGTGTACAAGTTCACATGTATAGCAATGAACACTTCAATCCTTTGAATAGTCATAATAACTGCATAAAGCATTGTTGCTAACATAGCATCCTTTTTGAGACATTGACCATCGGATAAGAATACAAGGATCCTGTAGCTGGGAAATGCTGAAATCTCCTGTCAAGTATTTGCTGTTTATCTGTGAGTGTTACCTGCTCCTGCTTACTGTGACCTACACCACATCGCATACCAACTGGAACATAACCATGTATGCCTTGCATTAGTCCTGTATTTGTGATGTTAAGAGTGAAAGACGCCATGAGGAAAAACAAAATGGCTTTGTACAGGAAACAGCTGTAATTGCATCTTGGGGAATAAAAAAGGAATGAAACAAGCTGGGCAATCAAACCTACCCTCACTTATCCAGGCAGAAAGCAGCAATGGCTAGAATCATGTCTGAAAGGCATTTTTGTCACATTATTTACTTAAGAGCTTGAGCGTATGCCTGAACTAGGTGCATGTATAGGGACGAGATGGACACGTAAGCAGGGTAGAATTAACACTTCCATAAGGGGAAGATTCAACCTCAATTTTCTCTACTCAATGTATGGCTTCTTAATGATTTACAGTGTAGTCACTTCAAAAGAATGCACGTCATAAAACATTATTCTCAAGCATCTCTGCTCCATTCTGTTCTGTGTGCACTTGATTTGCAAATGGAGGAGCAGAGTCGAGTGTGACAGCCAAGTGGTCATGTTGCAAACCACGAGGCTGTAAGTACATGCATGCACCATGCAGCTACATTTTGTTTGATTTGTCTTCTTTTATAAAGAGTGAACATATAACAATATGAGTGTGGCGGCAGTTCTAGATATAACTTGTAGCTATACACTGCTGCAGAAACAGCATTACAAACAAGGACTGCTACCTCTTTCCATGTGTTTTGTAGCACATGCTTGTGAGAAAGGTGCCAAAAAGGGCAAACATCATTTATCAGCAGCTGCATTGTTACATTTGAAAACCTTGCATTAAATCCACATCACCTCTTTATTTTCCATATAGTTGCTTTACCAACCAAACTCACTCATCTTCTAAACTACTGTTGCAGACAATTACATCCATGAAGCAGCATTGGATTGTATCCCTTAAATAGGAAGCTCCCAACTGCTGATATATAACACATCAGGGACAGTATAAGGATAATCACACGTGACTTCAAATGATTTAGTAGGTCACATGCCATGTGTAAATCTAATAACATAAAGCTCACTGTGCAAGGTTGAGATGTAAACACCAGTGGTATCAGGAGGTCCTCCAAACAAAATACTTTAACATCAGAACTTGTTTAAAATATGGAAATCAATTGCCAGAATCATACAGAACAACTTAAGGTCGATGTTTAATTTTAACACCCCAGTTTCGAAAAATAAATATTTATTTGAAAGACTGTTCATCTCTTCAACAAACCTAAAAACATACTTACGTTCCATCTTCATTACTTCTATAGAAAACCATGAAAGGATCAGACTTTCCAAAGAAATCTTTCTTGTCAAGTTTATTGGCACAGAATTGCATTGTTGCAACATCCTGCAAGAGAAATAAATTATATTGGGCTTTAATAGACAAAATGCTTTTGCTACCATCATTTTTGTTTTAAATCTCCAGCATACATACAAAGCTATAAATAAAATGCCTGCTGGACAGCATTAACCTACATTTCAGTTGGCACGTCCATTTACTCATCTTTGAGTAATCATGAACCTTACATACCGAAATGCCATTCTGAAAGTAAAGCCTAGAAAATAAGTTATAAAATGTATGAACTAATTCTTGAGAACTAATGACAGTATCACAATCAAATGTTAGCCTGACCTCCATTTGAATGTCAGTTCAACTGAGATCATGTTTAGAAATCTGAGAACTATTTGATGAAGTTTTGCCTCTGGCAGATATGACAATATTCATGGTAACTCCAGAAACATAAGAAACTAGGCATGGACCTTGCAGTATTAAAGAATCCAACACACATTTATTAGATTTAACTTTTATGTCAAAAAATATATTCACAGGCACTTAATGTCTGAGCTAGTATGAAGATCCTAGTTTACACAGCAGAGGAGCGTGCTTACGTTAGAACGTCATGGTTCAAGTCATCTGAAGTAAGACAGAGTACAATACCTTGAAATTCTTAGGTCACATGTTTTAATGCAGTTATGATATCATGAATATACATCTGGAAGGTATACTGACATATTGACCACAGTATCTATTGATGCACCTTAGCCAGTGCAGCTTGTGTTTGATTAATCCAGATTCAATTCCCGAGTTCCTTAAGATTAGACATCAATTTATCCCAAAATAACAAAGTTTCATTTTTGCCCAAGTGAACCAGATAATCATTTATTGGTTTTAGAATAGAGTTGTAGCTCGGATTGTGGATGTCGTGTTTGGTTGGCTCGCTAAGCTGGTTCGTTTTTCCGCAGACGTTTCATTAACCTGCTGGGTAACACCATCAGTGCAGCCTCTGATGAAGCGTCGTTGTGTTTTCCCACCTGGTATCTAAACTCTGGTGTCCATTGAGCTGGGTTACCTCACTTCCGGTTTTGCTTCGCAATGGAATGTATATGGGGTCTAACTCTATGTGTTTATTGATGGTTTCTTTGTGGAGAACCAGGCTTCTAGGAATTCCCGTGCTTGTCTCTGCTTCCCCTGTCCCAGGATCCTGGTGTTGTCCCAATACGACTGGTGGTTTTCCTTATCCATGTAGATGGAGATGAGTGAGTATATAAAAAGGACACGGCCAATACTCACTCATTTCCATCCACATGGGTGGATTAGAGAAAGATTTCATTGTCACACCTCAATAGGTCAGTATGAATTAAACGACATCGATAATCTTCATAGCAGTACAATAGAACTTTCTTTTCTTATCTTCATTGGTTTTCCACATTATTTTTCTCCAAGACACCATCTCACCCGATTACAGTAACCAAAAGTTTCATGGGTTATTGTTCATCCTCGAATAACTTGCTCAAGTATTAATTTAGGAATCTCAATACTATCAGCAGATTGCTGAAAAAAATAGGTATTACATTCAGCTAATCTTGTCCTAGGCTGAACCTTACTGATTTATTCTTCAAACAATGATTCTCATCCATACTTGTAGAATGTGAGTCAACGTACAGAGTTACAGAAAATTTGTGGGACCTTCATGCAAGTTTATGTGAAACCTCTAAACAGCAGAAAGCAGGGAGAAACCACAGTTTTGTCTTATTGTCATGGATCAGCTAAACCCAGGTAAAATTCAGTCAGCCTTCAGGACAGGCATGATTCATTCTTTTCCTTAAATAAAATCCAATTAAGTAAGCCCTGTGCTTAATTCGGAAACTTGTTTCTACAATTTTATGCAAATACTGACAATATTTTCCTCCGGCAGAGCAGTGGCAACATTTATCTTTGACTACTTTGACAAGAAAATTATGACAAAGTATGGCTACATGTAGTAAAATTTTATGCAAAAATCATACTGTATAGAATTGGTAACAAGAGAAAAGAGAAATAAAATCAAATAAAATAATGAATGGAGTCTCTATCATAGGAATTACAAAGCTGAAATATTTATGCGCATTATGAGAGGTTAGCCTAATGTTCAGGTTGAATATATTTAGAGAAAATAACATTTGGGAAATAACTAAATGATATAACTACGCACTGAAAATCCTTCATGCAAAGGTCTGGATAAAGGTATCAGATTTCCTACAATTCAAACTTCATTGTCAAACTACTGGAAAAAACAGATTGATTCTGAAGTGCCATGTACTCCATGCAACATAACTCAATAGGCAATGTTCATCTCTCCATATACTTATGCTTTTTCCTGTACTATTTTCCTCAATGAGGTTTTAAGTAGGTATGAACAAGATTATTTTATGTGCAAAAATGTCTGCATAAATATGCCACCAGGCAGTTATGAGTAAAGAACTTAAACCTAAAATCCAGGGTTCACATCTGTTTAAAGACCAGCACAAATGAAGGAAATGCAAACATGTTAAATATTGATTGCTAACTCTAACATATCAGAAAATGCATCTCTTAATATAAACAATCTCTCCAGCATTGCTTTATTTCAAAGCTGCAATCTTTGGCAAACCATTTGAGTAACATCCTTCTATTCTTATAATCTTTCTATTATTTTTAAATTTGTTTTTGGATAAATAACAAGAACTAACATCACCAAGTCATCTTGAAGTTCATAGCACATTAATTCGGCTTCACACAGTAGTCAATGTGCACAGCTGAAATGACACACCAGCTGAAGCATGCTGAGCTAATGGTTGTACCTACTGGTGTTAATTTTATAACTCATCTTAGCCAATACCACTTATGATGCCATCATTCACTGTTAAAAATATAAGTGAACAGCCTACCCAGTACGCCTACCCAACAACTCACTCTTCTGATTTCCTTTCACACAATAACACACAACTTGGTCCCAAATGTAAGATATTTGTACATGAAACATTCAGTGAACATCATGGAATCAGAAGGCAAATATGATAGTTAAATTTGACTTAATAGAGACATACAAGATGATCAGAGGATTAGATAGGGTGGACAGTGAGAACCTTCTTCCTCGGATGGTGATGGCTAGCACGAGGGGACATAGCTTTAAATTGAGGGGTGATAGATATAGGACAGATGTCAGAGGTAGGTTCTTTACTCAGAGAGTAGTAAGGGCGTGGAATGCCCTGCCTGCAAAAGTAGTAGACTCGCCAACTTTAAGGGCATTTAAATGGTCATTGGATAAACATATGGATGATAATGGAATAGTGTAGGTTAGATGGGCTTCAGATTGGTTTCACAGGTCGGCGCAACATCGAGGGCCGAAGGGCTGTAATGTTCTATGTTCTATGTTCTATGTGCATTAAAACTTAAAAAGTACAATCTTAAACTTGGATAACTAGCTCTTGTTACGTCTAGTTTTAACAGAATGTTATTTATTGGTCTGTACATAAATGTACATATATGTGGTCCTGCTTCAAATAATAATATTCTGAGGAACATTCCAAGTTTTAAATGTGTTGTCAATTGTTGAAAATCAGCTATGCAACAACACTGAATATATAAAAAATTCTTTTGCATTTCATTTTAGTTGGTTTTAAGTTAATATTCTGAAAATAACCTGCAATACTCATTCACCAAGCCTTTGAATAACTGCAACAAAATGGCATTTGACAAGATTCTGATAAGGTGTCATCAGACTCAAAATGTTAACTCTGCTTTCTTCGCACAGACATTGCCAAACCTGCTGAGTTTCACAGCAATTTCTGTTTTTGTTTCAGATCGCCAGCATCTGCAGTTCTTTATTTTACTTCATTGAGTTGGATGATCAGCCCTGATTATACTGAATACTGGAGCAGAATCCAATGGTCAAATGCCTACTACTGTTTTTATTTTCTTTGTTTCTTTTGTAATTATCCTGATCTGTCAACTGTTTGAAATACTTTTGGGATATTTATTATTTCTGTGGTGTTGCAAGCAGTGAATTGGCTACTTTCCTGTGAACAAAAGTATCCTCCATGTTCTGATCCAAAGAAAAATAAATTGCCAATAAAAAAAATCCAATCAAGAAACTTGAGGAAAAACTGGTTATTTTGGGCAATGTTAACAAATCTGCTCATGTGGAAATATTTGTTCTTACAATCCACCAAAGCTTATTCTCCATTGAAGTCCATTGAAGTCCATTGATGTGGAGTAAGGTTGCATAGGGTTCAAAGCTAGTGTTCCATCCAATCTGATCATTTCCCAGCAGGTCAGGAAAGCCACATATCTCCAAGAACTGTATTTCTACTGTTAACTGGGTCAAATATCTAATGTGATTCAATACAAAGTTAAACTCAAAGATTGGTGGAAGAACAAACTGTGGGTTGAGCTGTTGGGTGGAATCGCTGAAATCCCGATCTCCCAGACTCCACATAACCCACGTCTACCAGAAGGAGCCAGTCTGCCAACTGGAAAATCATTTCCATTAGATCTCCAAAACAATTTCACGTATCAGTAAATAAACTCTCTGGGACAGACTTTAAAAATTTACCGTCCGGGTACAGGACTTCACAATACTTTTAATGAATGAAACACTGTGCAATGAATTGCTCATTTTCGTGTCTCAATTCCCAAGACGTGACCCTGAACGTACAGAGCTCTGTGCTCAGAGCATAAATGAATGTAATTTACCATTCCCTGTTAAACAGTGATGAAAATTATGCTTGGTCCCGTAAAGTTGGAAAAAGAAAGTGCTTAAAAAAACTATTACAGTGCAATCGATAGATGGTCTGCACAGAGTAAGATGTGGTTACCCTGAAGGTTTTTTTTGTCTCCATGCTTCACCTATCCAAGTGATCACTTACATTAGTAAGAGTTTGTGGGATTTTAACCACTTTGGTGTATATGGTTGGGTTAAGAGGTTTATGTGCTGACCTGACTCTAAACTTATCCTCTTCCTGCAAATGAATACTATCTCGCCTCTGCTTGAACTGTCCATGATGGATTGGCTGATTATGTTGGAAACCATAGCACAATCATGTATT